TCCCTTCCAGGTGAGATGAATGTAGACGAAAACTATCAGGGAAAACTGAGCACCCCTCATGGGTCAGAGACATCTCTAGCAGTTTTCCAGGTAAATCAATTGCAAAAAGATACTGTTCCTTGTACCCCAGTATTTGAGTCACAGGCTGAAACACTAATAATTGATCCAGAGACCCTGGGGGTAGCTCTCCATAAAAAAGAGACTGTCATTCAGGAAACCCTCCCAAATGACTCACTGACCAAGTCTCTTTCACAGGGAAACCATCTGACTGAAAAGCTAAACAATTTTGACACTAACAACCACCAAAATGAAAGTTTTACTAGTGACCCTTTCAACTTGCCATTAGAAAAGGTCCCTGAAGAGACCTTAACACAGACCTTGGAGACAGCCTGTTCTTCTGCAGAGCTAGGGTGTACAAAGGACTTCCAAAACCAAAATAGAGATAAAGATGAAGACCAATCTGTGTTGGGCTCTTCAGTAGAAGTGCTATCAGAGTTTGTAACCAAAGTGAAATCTTTTTCTGGATGTTTAATGGAATCTCCCAAAACTTTCTCTGGACTTTTCTCCTCTCTGCAACATCCAAAGAAAAACTCCGTTTTCTCTCTTTCCTCTGGTGCATCCTCTCAGCCCCTCAAAGGTGAGTTATTTGGAATTTTCAAGAATATCAAACCAGAGATAAATGTACAAAAATCACCTGTCTCAACTTCTTCATGGCTTCAAAATGATAGTTCCAGAGAAGGTATAGGATCAGTATCTCCAAAAAATTTGTGTGGAGATGTTCCCTCTGCAACATTAAACTCAGAATTTGCTCTTTGTAACCATACTATGACTGTGGTTAGTTCAAAGTCAGACTTGGAGACTTTGATAAATGATTCTAAACTAATGACTGAAATAGAAAACAATAGTATTACTGGCAGTATTAAAGAACCCAATGATTCTGAAATATTTGGGACTTCATCTTTCTCAGGGGATGACACTGGGCAAGGAGTATTATCTCTGAGTGATGAAGGAGATATGGGAATATTGCAGGCTACAGATACAGAGGCATCAATGGAAGCAGAACATTCATTGTCAGCACAAATGAATTCAGATCCTATCTGTATTGCCAGTGATCATCTTTCTTCAAGTCAATCACCTCTTTCTTTTTATCCAGAACAAGCTATGCAGTCTTCTTCCACAAACCAAGACTTTTTGTATTCACAGACAATTGAATTACCAGAAACTAATTCTATGATTTCCAGTGAGGCAGATGTCAGCCAGAGTACCACACTGGAAACCCAACGGAACCTTTCTCACCCTCTGTTGGAGGAAACTCTGCTTTATTCCAAGAAAAGTTGTGTGATACTTGATGCCCAGAGAAACCCATCTGAAGTCCCTCAGGAAACAGAGCAACCAAGACCTTTTTCAGTACAAAACATGAGCAGTTGGACAAAGCTCAATTTTCCATCTTATGCTACTGGCTATAGGAAATCGTTGAGCTCTTTCTTTTCCCCACCTTCCTCTTCTGTAAACAGAGCAGTGGATATTGGTTTAATATCCAGTTTTAAGAAGTTGTCAACTCTGTTTGAAGGAGGAAGTGACAAGAAAGGAAATATAGAGGTAAATGATACAAAACCAAGTTTTGGAAAAAGTCAAGATATGTCAAGTCATTGGCCAAAAGAGAACAAAGAGGACCATAAACAAATGCCTTCAGAAACCTCCTCTCTGGTTTTGGTTATCAACAGTCATCAGAACCTTAACTCCATTGAGACTGACAAAGCTTGGGAGTCTTATCAAATGTCTGTAAGCAGTGCTGAGTCAATTAACTCCTGTTCTCAGCCTTCTTGGAACTCTGAGCAGATGGAGGCCAATCCAAGTGTATTTACTCTTGAGCTTGCCGTTTCTGGAAAAATGGAAGACCAGCAAGAAATTCAAGCATCTGAAGAACACTGGGATACCAAAGACAACCTCTTTAATCCCACCCATACTTTAGGTAGCCATGAGAAAAATCATTGTACTGCCCCTCCATTACCTTACCAGTCAGAAGAACAAGAGGAGGAGATGGTGTCTGCTAGCACCGACTCTGTTTTGAATGAACAACATCCAGTTACTCTGCATGACAGCAAGGAACTGAAGATCATCCAAAGGCCTGTTCTTAGCTAAAGCATCATAAATGATTTTAAGGATTGGCCATTTATGATGCAGATGAATTTGTGCTATATTAGTCATAGACTGCTTTATATCCTTTTTGTCTTTCTGTGTATTTCCTAGCCCCTGAGCTTCATATTAGCTTCATGTTAATACCAAGAAATAATGTGTTGGTCTTTACATCCTTTACTTTTCTAAAAAGTGCTAAATCTAACTCATTTATCAGGACAAGATTTAAAGATTTAATTATTTACTTGTGGTTTCTTCTGCCTTTAGTAATACAGAATGCAGATGGGCTGGCAGGAAGTCATTGAATGTTGCATGTTATAGCCACATTATGTGCTCCAGTGCTTCTTTGAGCCTTAGGCACTTGCATCTGTAATACATAGGGAAAAACCAACTTTTCTAAGTCTTCTAGCATGCAATGAGGCATTCCAGTGGCAATGAGGGTGTTAAATGAGGTATTCCAGTGGCAATGAGGGTATTAAAACACAAAGCACGTGATTGCTTGGTATAATCTATATTTTATGTAATATAATATATATTCCACATGATTTATATAGCTTCTTCCAGAGTATCAGTCTCCTTCCTTTCTTTCTCTCTTTCTCTCTCTCTTTCTTTCTTTCTTTCTTTCTTTCTTTCTTTCTTTCTTTCTTTCTTTCTTTCTTCCCTTGGGGCTAGTGTCTGGTAAATGCTTTAAGTCTTATAAGAGCTCAGGGCTATTATTTGCTATAGTCTAGTCCGGGGTCTGTTTACAGAGGATACTATTATTCCCCTTAAAGCATCTAATGGATCCACAAGGAGATAGAACACACAGTATAGCACATGCCTAGCATGTGCGAGGCTCTGAATTCAGTCCTTGGTACTGCATTCCCTTGAAACCTCCCAGAATTGCTGGCTTGAGCATCAGAGTAGCCCCAGCCCTTCCAAAACCCTTATATCCCAGCACCACTACTAGGTTTGGCCCCTCTATGTGTATACACACACACACACACACACATACACACACACAGAGCCTAAGTGGCGCAGGTAAGAAACACTGCCTTGACCTTTGTTCAAAACCTGTCAAAGGACTGATGAGGACCTATAGAGACGAGAAACTATATAGAGATATTGTGTGTATTTTTAGGTATTGGAAAATCAGAGTGGCCTGGTGCCTATCTTGCTGCTATGGGATGAAGGATTAGAAAACAGCCTGAAGTACATAATTATGTGGAACCATAGATAGAATCTCACTGGAAAACAATTTTATTTGCCCAAGGTGAAAATAAACCTTTGGTTAGACTCTGAAGCAAGAAAATTCTCTGTCCTTTTTCTTAGAGGCTTTTCAGTAGGATGCCAAAAAGAAAATGAAGGCCACTTTGAATAAAACAGTCTGAATGGGTTGGGTTAGGTCTTAAAAATTGTCACCAACTCACTTTGGAAAAGGATTGAATCACTTAGATTTAGTGAGTGATTTAAGTAATTTCTAGTTACTGCTTTTCTGATTATCTACTACAGTTGATATCTCTGATAGAAGGGAAACATTTCCTTCTCAGCATGGAAATTTAGGTCATGGAGAAAGGGTTAAATTGGCCTTCCTTCAAGTTCAGAGAGCCTTTCTATATGGCTTTTTAGAGTTGGACTTTTCCTGCTTTATTAAAAACTGATCTTAATCCTCATAGGCAAGTTCATCTTTAGAATGCTCCCTATACTACCAGGAATATCATTGTAACATGTAACATCCTTTTCTGTAAGACCATTCACCCCAGGACTTTATTGATTCTAGCCTCCATCTTACAATGACTACCATTTCCAGTCACACAGGTGACTTGAGAAATGATTGAAGGAACATGTCACCTATCCTTTGCATATTTTTTGGGACAGACATTTAAATTATAAAGAAATAAAAGCCCTAAATTTAATAAAAAGCAGGAAAGGGAATGGAAATTTTTTTGGTTTTGGGTCATACCCAGTGATGCTCAGGGGTTATTCCTGGCTCTGCACTCAGGAATTACTCCTGGCAGGGCTTGGGGGACCATATGTAATGCTGGAGATCAAACCCAGGTCAGCCACATGCAAGGCAGAAGCCCTACTTGCTATACTATCACTCCAACCCCAAAGGAATGGAATTTTTATCCATTTTTACCACTAAAGAAAATTAGGACACTTAAGACACAGCCACTGGACAAATTCCTTTAGATGACTGAATAAAGAATTTTCAGCATTGTTTTAATCATTCTTTAATATATATATAATTAAAATTATAGTTTGGGTAATGTGGTTATAGTAATGCTCATGTTTTAATTATTTTTGGACATAAAAAATTGCAGGATAAAATATTTTGTCTTTAGGCAACATCTGGTGGTATTGGGGCTATTCCTGGTTCAGTCCATGGGACACCATATATTGAGATCAAACCCAGGGTTCTAGCATGCAAATCATGTGCTCTAGTCCTTGGAGCTATCCCCAAGCTCAGGATAAGGCATTCTCTTTGCTTTCTGTTTTTGGGCCACCACCAGCACTTGTTTGGGCTTTGTGCTCAGGGGTTGCTCCCAGATGTTCTTAGGAACCATTCAGTGCCAGGAATGGTCTCGCATGCTAAGCATGTGTCCCAGCCTGTTGAACTGGAGTCCAGCCCCAGGATAAAGTATTCTTTTATGTCTATTGCAGTGTTGTGGCAGTGTTAGAGAACACAGCTTGTTTAGTTTTCCCTATTGTTCTGCTGTATAGAGCTTAGTTTTTCTAGATTATGAAGTATGGTCCTCTCTTCCCATGAGCCTCCTATTTTTGATTCTTGCTTCTGGTATCATTATTTCTTGGGTTTATCAAAACTTTTGTCCAGGTCTTTAGTATGCATTATTTACTCATTCCTCTTCTTTTCACTCCCACAGCCCCACTGGCAGTAGTAGATATGGCTCCTCCTGTAATGTGAGTCAAGGAAGTTCTCAGCTGAGTGAGCTAGACCAATGTCCTGAACAAGATGATGACTGTCGGGAGAGGGAGTCAATTCATTCCTGTCACAGCTCTGGCAGTTTCTCCAAAGATGGCCAAGTTGGTTTTGGAGAACAAGAAAAAGACTTAGAAGTGATAAGTGAAGCTAAGAAGGAAATATCATGTGAACTGAAGGAGATAAAAGAAGGTACAACAATCCATCATCCTCCAGATCTGGTGCTACACAAAGACCATGTTCTAGACCCCCAAGAGAGGTAGGTAATAGCAGCCATGAAGAGTTTATATGGTTTCTGCTGTATCTGCTGTGTAGTGTTGATGAATAAATGATTGTCATTTTGGTGCCAACAATCAAATATCATGGTGATTAGGCAATCCAGACTCAACTCTGCACTGTTCCTCTTGAATCATCTTGTAATTCATGATCTCTTTTGAGGATCTCTAAAGAATATGTGAGTTCTTTGTAGTCAACAGACATTCTTGAGCCTTTAGTTCTATTTTTTTATTAGTTGGCCTCACTTATAATGGCTTTTGAACAATTAGAATCGGAACTGATTTGAGTCCTGCAGGTTATTCCATTCAAAGAAATTATTGGGGGGGGGGCTAGAGAGATTGTATAGAGATTGAAGTATTTGTCTCGCATTTGCTGACCCAAATTCTTTCCCAGTAGAGAAGCCCCTGAGCACCACTGTATATGACTCAGCCCTCCTCTAAGATTACCCTCCGCTGCCCCCCCCAAAAAAACCCCAAAGAAATTGCTTTAGGATGTCTTTACAGCATATTAGTATTTTTACTTCTTTTATTAATATTGCTTTCTGCTTTTTTTTTCTCACTTTGAAAACCAGTGTAGAGCTAAAGAGGTTTTAGTCTAGAAGTTATAATCTACTTTTGTTTCCCCAGGGCCTAGAAGTGTATCTGGCAATTGGTACATTTTAAGATAGCTCATTTAACAGTCTTGTAATAAAGCTCATTGCAGAGTTTGATTTATGTTATTAAATTAAATTGGTCATTTGAGTAACTGATAGATTGGGGCAGAACATGATTTCTCAGTCCTGACACCTTTGGCATTTTGGGCTAGATAATTCTTTTTTGTGGGGAACTGTTATGCTACTGAATTCTGTAGGATGTTTAGTAGCAGCCCTAACCTGCACACTTGAACCAGTAGCTGCCCTTAGTTGTGCCAAGCAAAAATGTCTTCAGTTATTGCTAGATTTCCTGGCGAGAACAAAATTACCTCTGACTGAAAACCACTGGAGGAGAGTGATAAGGTCTTAAATTCTCAAATGTAGCCTAATATTTATTAGACTTAATTATTATTAGATTATTTTAGAATATGTTTACTCGACTTACTAGTTAAAATATAAATCTAATAATGAGACCTCTCACTGAAAGATAAAAGTAGACAGCTCTTTCTCTCTCTCTCTCTCTCTCTCTCTCTCTCTCTCTCTCTCTCTCTTTTTCTTTCTCTCAGCAAGGGGTAAGGGGCATGCCTGGCAGTGCTCAGGATTTACTCATGACTTTGTGCTCAAGGATCACTCCTTTGAAGGATCAGGTGGCCACATGGGGTGCTGGCGGTGAAACTTGGATTGACTGTGTGCAAAGCAAACACATTATCCACTATCCTATCTCTGCAGCCCCTGGAAAACAGTTCTTCGACCTGGAGAGATAGCTTAGTGAACTGAGTGTATGCTTTGCATGTGGGAAGCCCAGACTCTGGCATCACCAAAATTGTTTTGCAGTTCCAATATCCTCATGCACACATGCAAGGCAAATGAGCCACCTCCCTGGCCCATGACTTGAACTATTTTAAAGGTATGTTCTTTTTTTTGTTACAAGTTTTTCGGAGGAGAATGCATCTTCACCATTTACCCAAGCCAAAGCTCACTGGATCCGAGCAGTCACCAAGGTTCGACTACAGCTGCATGAGGTAGGAAATCTGTTAATTTATTATCAGCTGGATGATTTTTCCTTTGAACTTGGGAGACAAGTTGCTGGAGATACAGTCAGTGAGAGCTGTCTTACAGGTGCTTCTGGGAATGCGTGGATATGGTAAGCTAGAACTATAAGAGAGGAAGTGGCTGCTGGTTTCCGTCTTTGCAAATTAATGGATATATAATGTATCTAGTGGATTGAGAGACTGAAGTAAAGTTAAAAGCTTTTCAAAATCATTGTCACCTTGAGTCACTTCATTTTCTACTAGATACAGGGAAACTATTTCAAGACTTTTTACTTAAGTCAGCTATCTACTATGTCCAGTCAATTAGTTAATATCAGCTGAACTGTACAAGGTCAGAAATTTTAGAGTATTTATAAAAAATCTTCACATGTCTAAAGTCCAAAACATCAAAATATTAAGATCTGAAGTTCTACATGTAAAAGAATAAAAATGAAGAGTAATGCTTTTCATTTTCAGTGTTTCAAATATCTGTCAGTATGGTCATTTAGACAGACATTTTAATTCTCTTTTCATTTTACACTTAGGTGGTAGAATTTAAAATATTTTTAACAGTAGTTTCAGATATACAGTGTCCAACACCACCCCCACCACCAGAGTGCCAGCATCCCTTTTTGTCCCCCAAACCTCCAATGATTTCACAAACTGTTTTGTAGGCTAACTCTCAGACCATTGGCTATTTGGTATTCCTTAACTATGTTTTGTTTTTAAATGATAAGTTGTAGTCTGAAATACAAAACCTAGAAGCTGTTAAAAATGCACGCAAACTCACATGAACACAATATTTTGAAATAAAAATTAGGGAAACATTGTCAAAATAGTAGTATAAAGAACTCTCTTATCTATCTCATCCAGATGTCCCAATAGTTAATATTTTACCATATTTCCTTTATCACCTTCCATCATTATGATCTTTTTTTGGAAACCCTTGAAAGAAAGTTGGAAAGCTGATGTGGCATCACTTCTGTCACCTCTAAATATTCCTGTTTGGTTGTCCCGAAAAAGTAAGGTTATTTTCCTTATGAGGAGAGTATAATAATTCAAAGCATTAACCCAGCCACTATTAACATTTTTATTAAGACCCCATGTAAATTTTCTAGACTTTCTAATAAAGTCTCTTTCAAAGGTGTACTATTGGTGCAATTTGTTTAGTAACTGTAAAATACTGTTGTATAAAATTAATACTTTTAAAATGTTTGTTTTGTACTTTTTGCATTTAAATTTTGTATTGTAATACCTTAATAAAATTATACATGTATATATTTTTATTTTTTAAATTTATATAATTAAAATTTTTAATTCTTTAAAAATTAAGCACCATGATTTACAAAGTTGTTTATAATAGAGTTGTTATGTTTCAGCAACTATCCCACCACCAGTTTCCCTCTCCCTCCATCAATGTTCCTAGGTTCTCTTCCATCCTCCAGTCTGTCCCCTTGGCAACTATATAACAAAGTCATTTTATATTACTTGCTCCAACAAAATTTAAAGGAATGGCAAATGGAATTACCAGAAAATAATATAAGTCAATTTGTGATGATTGATTGCTAAGTGACTTTAATCAACATAAATAAGACATTAGTTCATTACTGAAAATGTACAAAATTCCTCAACAAGCTAAGAGTAACCATACCTTTCTTAATCTAGTAGTGAGCAACCATATGCACTGTTAATGAGTATCACACTCAATAGCACAGGTTGTGTAGTTTGTCCTATACTAAAGGAAGCTCTTCTAATGCTTCTTGCAAAACTGGTTTCAAGGCTATGAATTACCTAAACTGTTGACTGTCCATAAAGCTCTATATTGTTCCTTCAAATCCAAATGGTAATCTAGCTAGATGGAGTATTCTTGGTGAAGTGTTTATTTCATTGAGTTTTTGTATTATATCCCTCCATATTTTTCTGGCTCTCAGAGTTTCATTTAATAGATAAGCTGTATATCTAAATAGGCTTTCCTTTGTATGTAAGTTTCTTTTTTGATCTTGCTGTTTTCAGTGTTTTGTCTCTATATTTGGATTTTATCATTTTGATGACAGTGTGTCTTGGAGTATTCCTAGTTGAGTCTGTTTTCACTGGAACCTTTCTAGCCTCCTGGATCTTGGTGCCTGTAATCCTCAACTCTGGGAAATTCTTCATAAATAAAAGTGGGAAAAAAAGAATAAATAATATTCCTTATTCCCACAGGGCAGAGTCTGGCAAACTCCCCGTGGCCTACCAAATATGCCAAATACCAGTAACAATGATGGGTCTCATTCTCCTAAAAAGCCGTGAATATAATCTCAGGGCTAGGATGAAAGAGACGTTACTGGGGCCTGCTCGAGGCAATCGACGATTAACAGGATGATGAAATGAAATGAAATGAATATTCCTTACCCTCTGCATGTTGTAGCACCAGGCATTGAATTTGTAACCTTAAACTTACATGGCAGGCATTCTAAGCACTGAACTATTTCTCTGGATCCCTGAGAACTATTTTTTTTCCCAGCCATTGAGGAATTACATTTTCCCAAGCCAGAAAATGGGTGAAAATATTATCTGTCTCTTAGGATTGAAAAATCATCTAAAAAACCTATCATATAAAAAAGAGGAAAACTAAAAAAAAAATGTTGTTCAGCGGTTCCACATTACTTTCATGAAAGAGTAAAACTTTTGTGATATTAACTTACTATGACTTAAAGTGTGAACTAGCCCAGTCCAGGAAATGTTTCTAGTCTAGATGAAATAATTACTAAAAATTCCTTTCCTCCCCTCTTATTTGGCCACCTTCACCAGTGCTCAGTAATGCTGTTGTTTCTGAGCTCAGGGTCACTCCTGGTAGTGCGTGGGGGAGCATATGTGGTGCCAGGGATAGAACTGGAATTGACTGCATAGCAAGACAAGTGCCTTAATCTCTCTCTGTATTAGCTCTCTGGCCTGTAAGATTGAGTTTTAGGAGGCAGTTTGGATTGCCATGACATCAAGCCTATGATCAGTTACCTTGTTTCACTGAAGAATCAAAATACTGGTCCATCACATATTTGGAATAAAAATCCAGATACAATCAAAAGATTTGGAAAGCATTATTTGGAAAACATAGATGCAGCTTGCCTTTCTATTCTGTATAGTAAGCACTTATAGAAATATTTTTCAAAATCTCAGGCTTAATTCTTGCTGTTTCTCCTGCATAAAATCCTTTTATCTCTCTACCTACTAACTTTTAATTCATGTCATTTAAAACTCTGTTTTTTATTTTTTATTTTATTTTTTTTTTATATTTTGTATTTATTTGTTGAATCACCGTGAGAACAGTAACAAAGTCTTTCAGTTCAAGTCTCAATCGGTCATACAATGATCAAAGACCTGTCCCTTCACCAGTGCACATTTTCTGCCACCAAAAACCCCAGTATACTCCTCCTCCCACCCACCTCCCACCTGTGTGGCAGATTTCCACTTTACACTCTCTCTCTCTCTCTCTCTCTCTCTCTCTCTCTCTCTCTCTCTTCTCTCTCTCTTTCTATTGATCACATTCAATATTATGACAAAAGACGCACCACTGTTATTTGGAATTTTCCCCAACATTCAGACCTGCCACAAAGACATCATTAAAAAAAATTGATCTTTCAGTCTTTTTCTTTCTTTTGATTTTTGGGCCTACCCTTCAGCGGTAAGGACTTACTCAGGGCTCAGGGGACCATACTGGGTGTCAGGGATTGAATTTCAGTTGACCTTGTGCAAGGGAAAACCCCTACCTGATGAACAAGTTCTCCAGTCGAACCTTTTTTCCCCTTTTTTTGGTGTGTGTGTGCGTGTACATGTGAGTGCGTGTATGCCTGTGTGTGTGTGTGTGTGTGTGTGTGTATGTGTGTGTGTGTGTGTGTGTGTATCTGTATCTGTTGGGGCAGCAGGGAGAGAAGTACATTCCCAAGCAAACTTAGGGGCCCAGAGTACTCTCGGACATAGTCAACAGGGTGATGGTTAAGTACTAGGGCTTCCAGGCCTTCATGTAGTGAAATGTGAATTGAACCTAGATCTTGCATGTTCCTGGCATAGGCCCTAAGCACTATATTCTCTACCTGGCCCCTGTGCATACCTTTTCTATGTTGGTATTATCACAGTGTAATTGAGGTAATTGTTTACTATTACATCTTTATTTTTATTATACTTGTATGCTCCTTGAATGCTGGGACTATGCTTTTTATTGCTAGTATTTTTGAACCCACTATAGAATCTGGTAGAAAGTTTAACTCACCTTTTGTAAGAGGCCTAATTAGTCAGAAATTCCCATTACCATTTCCATTGAAGTCTCCATGTGCTTCTTTCCTTCGCTTAATTAGTTCTGTTTTAATGTACTAGCACCTAAAGTCAGTAACAGGAAAATATTAAATATTAACATAGTTTTGTTTCCTTGTATAATTTTCATATAAATGAATATAAAGTTGCTGAATTTGGGCCATACTGTATAAATTTATTTTTCATGTATATTGTTTTTGCTTTGTTCTTATTTCTTAAAAATATAATTTAATTAATAGACTAATAATATTTCATCATGTCATTATTGTAATTTTTGAGGGGGTTCACACCCAGTGTTTGTTTGGGAGCTACTCCCAGCTCTGTGCATGGTTGCTCAAAGTAGTGCTTAAGGGACTGTGTGATACCAGAGATTGAACTGGGATTAGTAGGATGCAAAAAAGTGTTTAACCCCTGTCCTCTCTCTCTAGCCTTCCTTATATTTCTTTACTATCATAAATACTGCTTTGATGAACACCATTTTGCATATTTGCTTTCGTTTTCAACTTTTTTTCTTTAACTTAGTTTTCTGAAAGTAAATTCAATGAGTGTCATGCTGAATTTAAAGGTTTCTACTACATGTATTTTTAGAAATTTTTCCAATTTGCACTTCCTGTATTTAAACATGCCACACCACATTGAATATTATTATTTTAGAAAATTTTACCAATTTGGCAAAAGAATGGTAGTCTATCATTTTGATTTGC